TTGAGAACTGCTCCTGATAGAACAGCTCTGAGAGAACTTGTGACTGACCCAAGGTCACACCAGCAGCTACATGTGGAGGAGTGGGGAATCAAACCCGGTTCTCCCAGATTAGAGTCCACGCACTTAACCACTACACCAACCATAGGATCAAAGCCTCTCAATTGGACAGAGAGTTATGTTCTGGTTTAGGACATTAAAGCCAGCTGAAAGCCACCGTTGGCCAAGAGAGAAGTATACATATTTCTTCTTGGTTCCTACGGAGCAAACATTTACTGAGTTCAAAAGGTACCAAAATGGTTATTCTTTTACAACCACTGCACTATGATTAAGACTGCAGTTTCTATCTGACCAAAGCTTAACTTGGGGCAATACCTTTTATGAGATGAAGGCCAACCATTAAGAACATCAGAAGAGCCCTGCTGGATCAGACCAGTGGTCCATCTAGTCAAGCATCCTGTCTCACACAGTGGACAATCAGTTCCTCTGGAGGGCCAACAACAGGGCATAGAGACAGAGGCCTTCATAAGAACATCAGAAGGGCCCTGCTGGATCAGACCAGTGGTCCATCTAGTCAAGCATCCTGTCTCACACAGTGGACAATCAGTTCCTCTGGAGGGCCAACAACAGGGCATAGAGACAGAGGCCTTCATAAGAACATCAGAAGGGCCCTGCTGGTTCAGACCAGTGGTCCATCTAGTCCAGCATCCTGTCTCATTCAGTGGCCAACCACTTCCTCTGGATGACCAACAATAGGGCACAGAGGCCGAGGCCTTCATCAGAACATGAGAAAAGCCCTGCAGGGCATAGAGGCCGAGGCCTTCCCCTGATGTTGCCTCCTGGCTCTGGGATTCAGAGGATTACTGCCTCTGTATGTGGAGGTTCCTTTCAGCCACGATGGCTAGTAGCCATTGATAGAATCTATCTAATCCTCTTCAAAATCTGTTTATTTAACCATTGCCAAATAGGACCTTTGAACCCCTGGCATATTAAAGGTCAAAGAAAGATCCACTCACTGCAACAGTCAGGCAGGAAACAGGACATGACAGCAATCGATAGATGAGTACGTGAAGCTGTACTAGATATTCACTCTTGCCCTAATTATTCCGTGGACAAAATACTGCTTCTTGAGACTGGACTTGCCAAATAACCAGGCAAGAGAAAAGGCAATGGACTAAACAGCATGATAAAAAGTAGAGACATCACCCTGCCAACAAAAGTCCGTACGGTCAAAGCAATGGTATTCCCAGTAGTCATGTATGGCTGCGAGAGTTGGACTATAAGGAAGGCCGAGCGCCGAAGAATAGATTCTTTTGAACTATGGTGCTGGAGAAGACTCTTGAGAGTCCCTTGGACTGCAAGGAGATCAAATCAGTCAATCCTAAAAGAAATCAACCCTGACTGTTCCCTGGAAGGCCAGATAATGAAACTGAAGCTCAAATACTTTGGCCACCAAATGAGAAGGGAGCACTCACTGGAGAAGACCCTGATGCTGGGAAAGATTGAAGGTCAAAGAAGACGGGGACGGCAAAGGATGAGATGGTTAGACAGTGTCATCGATGCAACGAACATGAAATTGAGCCAACTTCAGAGGGCGGCGGAAGACAGGAAGGCCTGGCGTGATCTGGTCCATGGGGTCGCAAAGAGTCGGATTCGACTGTGCGACTGAACAACAACAACTGACTTTAACTGATGGGAAAGCTAGACAGCAATCTTAAGAATGCTTTATATCTGCCGCTTTCTTTAATATTGCCTGGTCCATAGCCTCACTAATAGGAAGAGACATGCACGTGGCTGTCATAATACTGTCCTGCAATGCCCCTGCAATACAGAAGCTGCCTCTTGGTCACAAACCCCACTGTTGGACGCAGGGCCTAACAGACATCCAAGACAAAATAAACTGAGAGAGAAGCAACAGTCCTGGGTAGCAGAATGGAGGTACATTACCCTCACACCTCAGCAGTTATTAGATAGCCGATCCTACGTTTCAAGAAGCCTCCTAAGAAAGCTACAGCAAATAAAACCATCATTCTGCAACAGACCCAGGAGGCCGCTAATGTGCCTTCATTTTGTTTCTTGCCATCAATTTGCAGCCAACTTACGGCGACCCTGTAGGGCTACCAAGGCAAGAGATAAACCATTGCCTGCCTCTGCGTAGCAACCCTGGACCTTCTTGGTGGTCTCCCGGCAAAGTACTGACCAGGGCCGGCCTAGCTTAGCTCCCGAGATGTGATGAAATCGGGTTAGCCTGGGCTATCTAGGTCAGGGAGGGACTATGGAGATGAAAATTAAACCAGGCGAGTTCTCGGGGACTTGGAAAAAAAATACTATGAGAAGATGAACAACAAGTCTTCACCTAAAAAAAAAAATCACCTGAAAAGAACGAAGTGGCCAGTTATTGCCCAGTCTCTAATCTCCCCTACCTGGACAAGATAACTGAGAGACTGGCGAAGGAACTCCAGGTCTTCCTGGATGACACACCTGCTCCAGACCCTTTTCAATTGGGTCTCAGGCCAGGCTAAAGTACAGAAGGGGCTGTGGTGGCTCAATGGTTAAGACGCTGAACTGCAGACCGAAAGGTCCGTAGTTCAGCAGTTCGAGACCCACGTGACGGAGTGAGCTCCCATCTCTGGCCCCAGCTCCTGCCAACCTAGCAGTCCGAAAGCAAGAAACCGCAAGTAGATAAATGGGTACTGCTTCGGTGGGAAGGTCACAGCATTCCGTGCGCCTTGGCGTCTAGTCATGCTGACCACATGACCACGGAGAAGTCTTTGGACAGCGCCGGCTCTTCAGCTTGGAAACGGAGATGAGCACTGCACCCTAGAGTCGGATCCGACTGGCTTTCGAGCAAGGGAAATCTTTACCTTAAAGTACAGAGATGGCGCTGGTAGCTTTAGTGGGCACCCTCCATTAGAGCGCAGGCAAGGGTTGTGCTTATGCTGTTGGCTTTATCAAGCACCCTTGGGATTCAGCGTACTATGCCATCCTACTAAGATATCTGGACACAGAAGTAGGTATCAGGGAGGTGCTTTGGTATAGGTTAAATTCTTTTTTCCAGAAGAAGTGTTGCTGCAAGGCTCTGGTTGTTCGTAGTGTGGGGCATGCCCTGTGGTGTCCGATGAGGTCTAATCTTCATGCAAAACCCTTGGAAAAGGTTATTTGTAATTTTTGTAGCTGAGTGTCATCGGTTTGTTGACAGGGTAACAGGGTGACATATCCCGGCACTTTCTGTTTGTAGCTTCCATCCTGCCCAATAAGGTCAAGGTAGCTTCCACTTTTACTGTTCTGTACAATGTAAAATGACTACTGTACCTGAAGAAGTGTGCATGCGCACGAAAGCTTATACTTTGAATAAAACTTGGTTGGTCTTAAAGCAGCAACTGCACTCGAACTCTGTTCTGCTGCTTCAGACCAACGTCACTACCCACTTGAATCCATGCTCTGTAAAATGTAATTGTTCAAAGGGCAATTTTCACCCACACAACTTCCCTGTGGTTGTTTTAGGCAGATTTTTCTACGTGTGTCGTTTATTTCACTGTTCTCTAATTGCGCGATCCAGTTCTGTTGTTTTGTTTGCTGACAATACACCAGCCTCTTCCGCATAGTCCTCTAATTCTGTAATCAACCTTGAGCCTCAAAGAGGAAGGCAGACTCTAAACAAGGTAAAATAAATTAAGACTCTGGCCATATGAGAAGAAGAGAAGAGATTGGATTTATACCCCGCCCTTCACTACCCAAAGGTGTCTCAGAGCGGCTTACAAATTCCTTTTCCCTGCCCCTCCCCACAACAGACACCCTTGTGAGGTGGGTGGGGCTGAGAGAGCGCTTGACAGAAACTGCTCTTTTTCAAGGACAGCTCTTATCAGAGCTATGGCTTGCCCAAGGTCATCCAGACAGGTGCAAGTGGAGGAGTTCTTCCGGTTTAGAGTCCGTGCACTTAACCACTACACCAAACTGGCACCAAACAGAGAGTCAAGCAGATTTCTAGAACGCATTTGCGCCAACAAGATTATAGAGACCACCCTGAATCAAGTAACAATATGCACCTCCGCATCTTCAGTGCTGCGTATTACTCATTATACTGTCAAGCTACATGTGAAGAGGAAGAAACGAATTGTTGCAGAGGGAAATAGAACCTTTAATTATCGTACAACAACTCCCCCCCATTTCGTGTGCAGCTTCGTCAGGGGAACCTTTCAGATCCTTTTCGGTTCCATTCCCACACATACACTTACACAGAGCGAGCCGAGCCAAAGAGCATCTGAAAGATTCTCCCCGACAAAGCTGCACGCGAAACGCGCAGGGCTCGTACAATAACTAAAGGTTCTACTGCTCTCTGCGATAATTTATTCCTTCATTTTCGTTTTGCCTTGGTGCGACCCCCTCTTCTCCAAGCCACGTGTGGGCCATGGTATCCTTTCATACCAGAACCACCGTTGGGTCTGATTTATCCTGGTATGTGCAAAATGACCAGGCTGAAACACAAAACCTCTGGAAGTTTTTTTTTTTCATAGGCCTCTGTTCTCCAGAGAGGCATCTTATTTTTCAGGATAACATTTAAAGCTACTGGCTGCACTCATATCTAAGCATCAGGCATGTGTAGATGTGAAGGAGCTCTCATACAGAAGAGCCGTATCAAGGAGCCCGTGGGTAAAACAACAAAGTTATTTATTTATTCACACAAAGCGCACTTTCTTGGCCTCAAGGTCACACTTTTGCTGCAAGTTTTCTATCGAAAGTGATTTGCCTGGCATACAGGAACCAAGACAGCATCTGAGGAGAGCTGTTCTCGTGGACGTTGGGCTCACTCGATATTTGCTTGGAATGAGCTAAGCCATTTCATACCCAAAGATATAGCAAAATGGACACAGCCTGGATGCAACACGGCACACGGAATCTACATGCACACACAGCTAAAGCAGCACCGACAGCGCAGGAATTGCGAGAAGCTGAATCAGGGTGCAGAAGGAAAGCAGGAGAAGGAAGGTGTCAAAGCAACTTACCCAATGTCATCTCGGTAGACTCGAGAGATTAAAACCTCTCCTTTATGATTATAAATGAACAGGCCTCCAATCATGATGAAAAATCTTAGTGTTCTTTTCCCATGGTGCTTAGATCAGACCTATGAACACAGAAAACAAAAATCAGACCTACAGTACAGAACGCAGAACTCAAGACAGTCAGATTGTTTTGTTTGAAAGGTACGTTGATTCAGCCACCGCCTGATTCAGCAAGTTAAACTAATAGATTTCCTGAATGCTGGCCTCTTCCCATCTATACCTTTGTGTTCTTCTGGGGAGCGGTGGCACAGGGGATTTATCCTCTGGTTAAACGGCTGAGCTGAACAGGACTGCTGTCAGTTCAAGCTCTGCACTGGTGTGAGCTGCCAGTCTGTGTCCCTAGCTCGCTGTCCACCCAGCGGTTCAAAAGCTTTGGCGAGTAGATAAAATGGGCACCACTCCTTAGAGAGAGTGGGCACACTAAACCGCCCCCGGTGGGGGTTGTGTTAGCCGATCGGATGGTCTGCGCGTAAGATCCGAAAGCCGAGAAAGATCTACGCAGCGTCGAAGAAAAGCCTGCAATAGGCCATTCGGCCAGACGGTGGCAGTGATGCGCTGCGACTGAGACAATGCTAACGACATCAAGCGACACCGAAAAAAGGAATGCTGCCGGGAACACGTCTGGACCTTACAGCCGACCAAACTCCGTCAACTACGAAATGTGTGTGATTTAATGATATATGTTGTCCTCCCTTACCCCCAGCATTGTTAGTCCCATGTGAAATTCAGGAGTAACTGTAAATCGCTCAGAGCCGGCAGCTCTGCATGGATTGAGCGATCAATAAATGGAAAGATTATTATTATTATTATTATTATTATTATTATTATTATTATTATTACAATCCAGTTTTATCCATGTACACACCAGCGGTTTATTCTGGAGGAAAACACAGAAGCATGTAATGTGCTTTGTGGCTGCTGTTAGCCATTCAGCCGTGTCTGGCTCTTGGCGATTCTATGGGGCAGCTCCCTCCACGTCTTCCGAACTTGTCCTGTTATTTTGAGTCATTCCATGCTCAGGCTGGTGTCAACTTTTATGGTGTCTAGCCACTGTGTTCTTTGGCCCAGTTTCCTTTTGCCGCTAACCAACCCAAGCATAATTGCCTTTTCTAGTGAGTTCTTTCACATGACATGGCCGAAATAAGTCAGTCACACCATCTTATTAAATTATTCCCTCCTCCGACATAATCCATAGAAGGACTGGTTCACAGAAGGACCCGCCTTAGAACACGCGGCCTGAACTGGAGCTCTACAGATCCGACCAACATTCTCCATTCTGCAAAGGACAGCTTCTTAAGCTGACAGACAGAAAAATGACCACTAATAATTACTACATCTGCACTTGCATCATTCTTATCTCTCCAGAATGCACGACACCTGTCTGATTTCCTCCAACTAGAAACCTAACTGCAGAAAGGAAGGGGTGAGAGAGGCAGTGTTTGCTACTTATCTATTACAAGTGGGGGACCCACAAGAACTTACAATGGCACCTCATTTTCTGCTCCTTCACTATTTCCTCCTTCCCTTCCCTGGCCCAAGGTCACCCAGTGAGGTTCTGTGACAAGAGGAAGGATTCAAACCTGGGTCTCCAAGATCATAGTTTGAAACTTTCACCACTGTCTCACACTGGCTTGCAAATGGTGGTTGCTCCTAAACAGCAGCTAAACAGCAGCTAGCAGTCGGGCCTGGATAGAAGTCATGGCAGCTGCACTGTGGCAAGTTGCCCAGTGGTTGCTGGTGGGCCTGGCCTTGATAAATCCTCCCTTAAAGGCCAAAACAGCCCTGGAAAGAGCCCTGCCCTCTCCCCATGCCTTTTACTGACGTAAACCAAGGCTTGAAGGCTAACAATATTGTTGTGGTTACCAACCCGAGTTTGGTGTGAGAGCCAGTTTGGTGGAGTTGTTAAGTGTGTGGACACTAATCTTTGAGAACTGGGTTTGATTCCCCACTCCTCCACTTGCACCTGGCTGGATGATCTTGGGCAAGCCGTAGTTCTGATAAGAGCTGTTCTTGAAAAAAGAGCAGTTTCTGTCAAGAGCTCTCTCAGCCCCACCTACCTCACAGGGTGTCTGTTGTGGGGAGGGGAAGGGAAAGTTCGTAAGCCGCTCTGAGACACCTTTGGGTAGTGAAGGGCAGAGTGTAAATCCAATCTCTTCTTCTTAAATTTCAGATTTTTCTGCACACCTAGGGCTTTCCTCAGGTTTGTAGAAAAACCTGTTGTCGTCTGTTCGTGGCTCTGGTCTCCAGATTTAAGCATCCACAGATTTTGCCATATCGATGATGGTGCAGCCGAACACCACACTTCTGGGATCAGTATGTTTATTCAAACTGAAGTTAATACTGTAATACTGTGCAGAGGTTTCTAACAGAGGAGGAGCTACCGAAGCGAGAGTGGAAACCCTGCGTAGTGGCTACTTTAGCTAAGGCTGCAAGATTTTTTGAGGCAGGATGACTCATGAAACCCGGTTGCCAAGATTTCCCTTGAAAACGTCAGCTATACGGTTCCAAGTAACTGTTTTGAACGTTTCTGTGGAGTTAATTTTGTAATGGTAAAAATAGCTCCAGACAGAACAGAGGATATTAAGATCAAAGTAATTTAAAGCAGAGTCAAGCCAACAAGCTCGGACAGAGTTTTCTGCATCACATTTAAGCCAATGCACCCTTCTCTCAATTAAGCACTACAGGTGTTGCGCTGATATGTGGGATAAAAATCACATACTAATTCATTAGGAAGCTTTCCATACTACAGAGTCCAGGTACACGCAACAAGTGGTAGGTCACCATTTATGCAACTCCTAATCTCATAACTATCAATATCCTATCAATGCTACCAAAATTTGACAATATTTATTTATTTATTTATTTATTTATTCATTAGATTTGTACCCCGCCCTCCCCAACGGGCTCAGGGCGGCTACAACAGAGGCAATTGCCATAACAACAGTTAAAACAACATAAAAAACTATCATTAAACAGTATAAAACAATCATTAAGTAAAGTGCGCTGCTCTTGATGTTAAATTTTTCTTAATCCAAGATGAGTTCCATTCATCAACCTAACCTGACAACATACATTCTTCGGTTAACTAGGCGTCTGCCCAGGGCCGACTCACCTCCAGATCTAATCCACCGTCGAAGATGGCAACTCAGTGGTGGTACAGTGATGGCGGCGGCTCCTATGCAAAGGCCTGGCGGAAGAGCTCTGTCTGCAGGCCCTGCGGAACTGCGCCAGGTCCCGCAGGGCCCGAACCTGCTCTGGGAGCTCATTCCACCAGACAGGAGCCGCCACTGAGAAAGCCCTGGCCCTGGTTGCAGCCAGCTTGATGTTCTTGGGGCCGGGAACCACCAGTAGGTGCTGCGACCCCGACCGTAGCGCTCTTGGAGGAACATATGGAGAAAGGCGGTCCCTTAGGTACACTGGACCCTGGCCATCAAGGGCTTTATAGGTAAGAACCAGCACTTTGAAGCGAATCCGGTATGCTATAGGCAGCCAGTGCAGTGCCTTCAGCGCAGGTTGCACGTGGTCCCGTCTAGTGAGACCCATCAACAGCCTGGCTGCCGCATTCTGCACCAGCTACAGCTTCCAGATTTGCAACAAAGGCAGCCCCATGTAGAGAGCGTTGCAGTAGTCCAACCTTGAGGTGACCGTCGCATGGATCACAGTGGCCAAGTCATCGCAGTCAAGGAAAGGAAACAACTGCCGTGCCAGCCGAAGATGGTAAAAGGCTGACTTGGCAGTGGCTGCCACCTGGGCCTCCATCGATAAGGTGGAGTCCAGGAGCACTCCCAAACTCCTAACCCTCGACACCGGCACGAGCGGTGCCCCATCGAAGGCCGGGAGAGGGAGCCCCAAGATAATTAGCTGAATTTCTCCAGGCATCCTGTAAAGAATTGGGTCCTTCCGAAGCCCAGGAGAGTTAAACTCATTGGGCTTCCCAGACTTGCAAGCCAGTCAACTCACCAGTCAAATGCTCCACGAATGCAGCTGTGTAGGTAGCAACTTATATTTTATCATTATATTGCCATTTGTTACCGGCTGCGTGAGTGAGGGCTATGTGCCTACTAACTAGACAGCGGTCAGGACAAACCTAACCGCATAGCAGATCTTCCCTCAAGGTAAAGGCTTCCCTTGCTTGAAAACTAGTCGAGTCCGACTCTAGGGGGCGGTGCTCATCTCCGTTTCCAAGCTGAAGAGCCAGTGTTGTCCGAAGACATTTCCATGGTCATGTGGATGGTATGACTAAATGGTGATGCGCACAGAACGCTGTTACCTTCCCATCGAAGCAGTACCTATTTATCTACTTGCAATGTCTTACTTTCGAACTGCTAGGTAGGCAGGAGCTGGGGCCAGAGACGGGAGCTCACACGGCACTCGGGTCTCGAACTGCTGAACTACCAACCTTCCGGTCTGCAGCTTTGCATCTTAACTAGTTTGGTGTAGTGGTTAAGTGCACGGACTCTAATCGGGGAGAACTGGGTTTGATTCCCCACGCCTCCACTTGCACCTGCTGGATGACCTTGGGCAAGCCATAGTTCTCTCAGAGCTGTCCTTTGAAAGGGCAGTTCTTGAAAGAGCTCTCTCAGCCCCACCTACCTCACGGGCTGTCTGTTGTGGGGAGGGGGAGGGAAAGGAGATTGTAAGCTGCTCTGAGACTCCGAGTGAAGGGCAGGGTATAAATCCAATCTCTTCTTCTTGTCTGAGGCACTGCAGCCGTAGTAAAATCTTTCCTACTTTATTTTTATTTACAAAACTTCTCCTCTGTTTCTCTACAGAACCAGCTCAAGGTGGCTTGCCACCTGATGTAGCACCAAGAATACCGGCAGTCGGTGGCAAAAGGCACCACTAAGGATTACTGTGACCAATGCTCCCTCTAAGCTGTGGAGTCCTGTGAGCAAAAATTCTACTTTGTGAGCTACTGGCATTGAAGTTATGAGCGGGCGATTTGGCTCCTGCGTAAATTAGTTTGCCCTGGAGCCATCCCTTCCTGAGCAAAGGCAAAAATGTGTGAGCCGGAGGCTAAAGAACTGTGAGCTGGCTCACACTAACTCAGCTTAGAGG